ACAGTAAAGAGGCTTCCAAGCATTACTTTAACCTCCCTCAACAAGGTATACCTCAGTTCCACGGTTGCTAAATTATAAGATTGAAAACACTAACAAAATTTGAATAAATCAATCCATGTTTTATAACAATGTATTACAAATTCACTGTGTTATTTAAGAAAAAATGGTAAGCTATGCTTAGTGCCAATAGTAAGTGGCTATTTGTAAAGCAGTGTTTTAGCTTTTCTTGTGCTGGCTTGTAATTTAGGGAAAACAAAGTGCTGTTTTTGAAATAGAAAAAAAAATGGTGTCATTTCCCCTCCTTCCCTTCATCTTATATCCAGGTCCCAAAGTATTGCATACTTAAATAGTACTTTTTTCTTTAAGGTGTGCTGTGTTTGGGAAATATTTGAAAACATAAAGCATGATTTAGAAAATTTTAAGTGAGCTGTGACACTGGAAAGCTCTTCATTTTATCTTTTAAAATAGATTTTTTTCCTATTTATATATATAAAATTGTGGTGTATTTTTTCTTTACCAAACAGTGTGTGGGATATTCTTCTCACTGTTTTAGGATCACCTCAGGAAGTGTCATTACTCAGAATTCCTCACTCTGCTTTGAGACGTGTAACTATCACTATGCTGTGTGGTGCCATCTTGTCAGAGTAATATTTGATGTCTGTGATATGAAGAGAATTATCTTAGGATAGAGATACTGACCTTTAAGCACAGATTTCAGATATTACTGCTTTAAATCAAATCAGGGATAACAAGTTGAACTTACAACTTAAAATATGCAATGACATTTAGAGGTAACCAGTGGTGGTTATAAGGAACACGGCCTAGCCTCCCCCAAGTTACTTTACAGCTAACTCTAGATAGTTCATGCCTTATCCTTGTTAAGAAAATGGAATTGATGACAAGTAGGTGCCAGAGTGCTTTTAAAAACAGTGTAACATTAGAATACAATTGGCTTCTTCCCTCAAATTTACATAAGCCCAAGTGAAAGATTAATTCCCTGAATTTTTAGATTACCAACAAATAGCCAGTATTATGTTATATACATTTTTTGTCGAGTCACTTTAACATCCATACATTAATTTTATAAACTTTTTACATGTTACTATCAGGAGCTCACTGTGAATGCATTATCTTCAGATGGTTAAGACATCATACACTACATTTTATGTGCACTAATCTCTGGGAAGAGTAAATTAATTGTAAGTAGTACATAGGTCAGCAGACTCTAAGCAGGGAGGAGAGAGTAATACCATTTATTTGTCTGTATGCCACACCCCATAGAGAATTGTGCTTTGTTCATGTACCCAAGGTCTCACTGTGTTCCTATAACTGCCCAGTTCAGTGTTCACTGTTCTGATTTCTACATATTTGACCTCCCAAATTCTTGATTTAGGTTTGCTTCCACTTGTAAACTAATCCAGCAAAACGTAAGAGAATGTGCATACAAGAAAATTGTTAATCTCCATAAACAAATTTCTGATTGTAAACATTCAACCTCTTTTTTAAAAGTGATAAGGGATATTGTGACTGTCTGGCTTAGGAAAGCACTACAGACAAAATGTTACCAAGACTGGTTCATGATAGAAAATGCTTTGTCTTCATGCTAGGGAAAACTTTAGAAATCTTGGGCATTGTACTTAAATCTAGCTTATGAAATTTAAAACTTGTATTCTCTTGAGAACTACATTAACAGAAAGCCTTTTTTCTAAGCAGTAAAGTAAGAATGTTCCAGTGACTACCTGTCCTTATACCTAGTCTTGTTAAAACTTTCTTTTGCAGGGCATTTTAGTGTTTGGTTTACAGTAAGTGCAGAGTGGGCAGATAAAAAGCTTTGAGCTAGGACACTGAAAAAGGAAGATCAAAGAATGAGAAGGATTTTTTTGAGGGAGATGGCAAACTTAAACCCCTGTAACTTTGTGTATGGTGCTCCTCATGATGTCTTGTACTTTGCCTTTCTGATACCCACCAGAACTGCTGCTCTTCTTATTCTACCTTGCCCAGATCTCCTGTGAGAAATGCTTTATGATCAACTGCCATAGGACAGATGGATTAACCAGTGTTTGAATTTATTTGAAGTCTTTCTATGCCCTGCACAGATCTTGTATGTATTTTAGATGCTAGGAGTTTTAGCATGTGATTTGTGATTCTTGTTTGGACGTTTTATTACAGGTACCTTGTGAATTCCAGAACAGAGACTGTGCCTCAATGATTGGTCCCATGAACTTGCACTATCTTTCGTGGTGATATTCTGAAAATACAACCAAGGAAAAACAAACAACAACAACAAAAAAAGTCCAACACGCTTGGATTTAAAACTAGAATCATGTATCACAAAATTAGGAAAACATCGCTTCTGTCCCCTTTTCTTAACCTTAATAGTCACGTTTAAGTAAAATTCAAATGGTTGGGAACAAACCCTCACCAGATAGATGGTAGTTTAGTGGAATAGACTGATTACTGTTTTTTAAAAAAATGCTTCATCAGATATTTTCCAGTTTCTCTTTTTTACTTTTTTGAAAAATTACTTTTTAGGAACATTTGGTATAATGTGCATAAAATTATTTACAATTTATGGACAAAGATACAAGTAGCATCTTGATTAAACATCATTTACCTCAGATATTCAACCAGCAGTACGTTTTTTATGCAGTCTCAACCCGTATCTCCCTATTTGTTACCTCTCAGAATATTGGTAAACAATTATTTTAGCTTTACTCTGTATTTCTTGTCAGTGTTTTGGGCACAGGTTGTTGTACTACTGTCATATTGTACTTGCTATTTTTTTTTTCTGCAAGTATTTAACGGAAAGCTAAAAACGAAAAAAAAAATCCCATAAAATCCCACCTTGAATAAGTGATTGTTAAATATTGTACAAATAAAATGTATGCTATCCCCATTCCATTCCCCATGTTAAATAAAAAAAATGAATATGGTATTATTTGTACATGCAGTTTTTCTTTAGCTATGCATGTTCTTCAAGAGAGTAACAGTTTTCCAATTTACAGTGAGGTTTCTGCCTTGAGGTTTTCAAGAATACATGTCATAAAAGCAGAGAGGTTCATGAATTAGGGCATTTTCCTTCCACTGTTGTCTAATCAAGACTGTATTTCTACCCTGTGTCTGTGTCGGTCCTTACTGCCCATGGAAGGCATGCAGAGCATTGTTGGTAAAGCCAGTGCATTTGATCAGATTCTGTGCGCTCAGGACAAAGGTGAAGGCGATGCTTAGATTGCTTTCAATATCATCTAAGTGAAATCAAAAGGCAATGGTGGACTGCCACCATGACTGTCACAGAAATGCCAGTTTTCACAGAATGTTCTGCAATGTCTCATTCTTTAGATCAGTAGGTAATATGTCCTTACTAATAAGACATTACCATATGGAAGTTTGAACAACAGATTTTAATTTCTCAGAAATATGTATGTGTCTGCATATAAATCAGAGATGCCTTTTAAATAAGATCCAAGTTTCAGCAGGCCACATGGAAGAAGCCTAAGTCCTTTTTGGTTGTTTTTCCATCTATTGACCCAGAGGACTCTTGAGTTGATTTCAATATTTTTCTTCATTGCAGAGAATCCTCAAGTCATACTTTGTCTACATTCATTTTTTTTTTTAAAGACAACTCAGACTAGTTTGAAGCTCTTGTTTCTACCTCTGAAGCTGTAAATTCTACATTACAGACATATACTTTCATGCCATACACCTTTACATTTTTTTAGGAACTCATACTTTTATTAGTTTTAATAAATGTAGTTTAAGCAATGTGTGAGGTGAAACTAGCTAAAAATCTTGCAATGGCTATACCTATACTCGTATGACCTTAATAGTTACTACCACTTCATTTTTTATCAGTTAATAAAAACAAAAGTTTACCTTGCCTGTTTTTAAAATTGAACACACTGTTCAACTAGATCTTTGTTACCCAGCCAGGAAAGCAGAGGACTCAGCTTTTTAAGCAGCATCTAAGCTTGAAATTCTCATGTCATTTTATTAGGTTCTTTAGAGAGGGACTGTTGTTTTTTTTGGAGACAGGCTCTCACTATGTAGCCCAGACTGGCCACAAATGTTGGATTCTCTTTTGACAAGACTCCTACATATTGGGACTATAGACTCCTTGTCCTGTTGCTACAGTTGTTTTAAGAAGAAAATTTTGCTTTTATTATTAGTAATACTACCATGCTAAGTATTTTGGAAAAAATCATCCTTGAAAATGTGCGGACTGTGTCATGAAACCACTATGCAAACCTTAAACTTAATGAGATAGGGCCGGGAAAAAGTCTTAAAACATAGCAGGCTAAACATGGTTTACTGTAGGAAAGGCAAGGCTGCATATGAGGGAAGTAGGTTTTCACCTATGATGTGGAACTCTAATGCACAGAAATCTTAATATTTGCCATTTTGTAAAAGCTAAATTATTTCTTAAAGTATTCTGTAAAAACAGTTTTATTAACATGGGCTTTAGTGTCAGTCAAACCAAGCTTCATTCTAGGGAACACCAGGCACCAGACATTCCCATACTATGATTCTGGATACTACCACTGGTATGTTTTCTAATCTGTAAGTACTATTTAATTTTGCAGTTAAACTCTTTATAAATAAATTGCACACAGGTGGGTGATATGTTTTATAAGTTATAAAATATTACTGTGAAATATTCTTGAACAAATGAAGCCAGTGAATGGTTAAACCTCAACCTCTGTTACTTTTAGGTTAGGTCTTTAAATTTATGATGAGAACCTTTGAATGACATTCTGTTCTTAGGGAATTCCTTTTTGATGCAAACAGCTAACACTGCAAATACTTCTCATTATTTTGTGGAAGCAGTTTCCCTGGAATTCTTTAAGGTATGTTAGATGGCAAATCTATCCCTTCTGAACAAAAGTAGACCGAGAATGTACACTTAAATCATCATAGGGACTATCCCCATAACAGTGTAATTTAAATCAATAGGACTGTGTGTGCATAGTCACGACTCAACACATAAGCCAAGATAATGCAGGTTTCTCATAAACAATCTTTATAAACAAAGGAATATAATAACATCTTGTTAGATAGAGGGCAGTAGCTTCTAGTTCTTTACAGAAATGTACTTAAAATGTTCACAGCCAACTTAGTGAGGAGGTTGCCCACTGCCTGACGTCTGTAGGGCAGTTGGAGTACTTCTGTAGGGCATTCATAATTTGAGTATTATCCAAAAGTAGTTTCACTAGCTGGTATTCTCTCTGTGAATTGACTGAAGTTCTTTCCATTGGTTTTATTAATTCCAATTGTTGTAAATGCTCAAATGCCTGAAAGATAAAAAATGTAGTTTAGACTAAAATGCTAATCCAGGATAGTTTTAGCCAGCTGTGAAACAGGCAGGTTAAAGATAAATCAGCACATTTGAACCAAATTTCCCCAAATGCACATCTCTATACTTGAATTTATGTTAAAATGTTTTATATTTTATTTAAAAAGGTTTTTTTCAAGACAGGATTTCCCAGCTGTTCTCAAACTCAGAGATCCACGTTCCTCTTCAAGTGCTGGGATAAAAGGTGTGCACCATCACACCTGGGCTATAAAATCTTTTTCTTTATACACTACAACTTTGTTCAAGACAGATGGGAGGAAGAACAGAAGAAAGAGAACAGGAAAGACACCAATAAAGCTAAAATAACTTTTAGGGAATGGAAATTTAGCTCAGCAGTATAAACTGGTGGCCTAGCACCAGCAAACAAAAACAGGTAGTCCCTCAAACACCAAGTCTAATCAAATCCATAAAAACTACACTGTTAACTTTTCCTGAATCAATAATAAAGTTTTGAGGCTCATTCTGTATCACAGGTTCCTCTTTTCAGCACCTACTCTACCTATTCCACTTCAGAGCTATATAGCTCCAGTCCTTTGTCTACTGCTTTGATATTAAAAACCTAAGAATCTGTTAGACTGATTAAATAGGTTACTAAAAGTTGCAGTTTGTTTCAATCTCAAAGCCTTACTGTACATTAAACAAACAGCTATATACCAATAGACCACTCAGCCAACATCAAAGAAGTTTTCTCCTGCAGATAGGAACTAATAGAGACCCACACCTGGACAAAGTACAAAACAGGAGACCCTGGAAAACCCCTGTCCTAAATAGGATTCTTTTCATTAAACCCCTTACCTTATGGCTCAAAGAAACTCTGGGAAAGGGGGCAAAAAGGTTCTAAGAGCCAGGGGGAATGGCTACCAAGGAAATAAGTGTCACCCAGACACAACAGGACTGAGGAACATGAACTGAGAGGCGGTGACAGCAAGCACAGGTCCAAGCCAGATAAGGGTCTAAGTGCTGAGATGACGAAGTAGACACCATCTTCCAGCCCCAACCAACAATCTAGTCCCAACTAACAACCTCTCACAAAGGAAAACTTAGTTTCTCCACGGGAGTCTCTCTGGGAATACAAACCACACTTAAGGACAGGGACCGTGTCCAGTAGCAGATGGCCAATATAAAATTAACTCAGGTCTTTGAAGATCTCTTTTGTGTGTGTCTCGACTGATGCTTTGGCATCACCCCCTACTTCCCAAACTGGTCTTTTGCTTGTATGTTATGGTTTCCAATTTTGTTTTTATGGGTTCTGTTTTTGTCTATGCCCACATTGTGCTTTCCCCTGCTATTTCATTGTTTCATTTTGTCTGTCAGTTTGTTCATTTTGTTTTATCCTTGCCTGTCTTTCTATTTGCTTGACTGTTATCCTGGGGGTGGGGGGTAGAAGGGTGAGGAGGTGGGAAGGATCTCAGTGAGGGAGGGGAATCCCAGATTGGAATATATTGTATGAAAATAACTACTCTGATTTAAGCATAAATAAAAATTAAAAGAACAAAAAAGTTTAACAACTGTAACATAGGTAGCGGTAAGAAAGGCCCAGAGTACACTAAGGTCTATTGGACTGATAGACTCTGTAGGTGGTAGAGACCTGGGGATGGTGCTATGTTTGTTTTACCACCTGTCAGCAAAGTTCCCATCCATGTTCCTCTTAGTCACGTTAACAGAGTTCTTAAGTGTTTGCTGCCTCTAACGCTACAACCCATAGTACTTTTAGAACCTTGATACTTTTGTTATTAAAGAAAAAAATAACTATACTCTGATGCCATACTAAAATAGCAACACAGTGAAACAGATTTGTGAGCATTTTATTCTTACAGTTCACTGTGAAAAGTATCACAACAATATATTCTGCTAATCATACAGGTTCTTATGGAAAAGGCTTACATGTCATTCATTTTGTAAAATGAGAAAACATTAGATTCTTCAGCTGAACACAACTGAAAAAATATTTTGTATTTTCAAGTTGCAAACTATACCCCTAATTTAAAATGTACAAACAAGCAACTACAAATTATTCCCAAACATGTTCAGGTGCCCTTTATACAACTACAGACAACCAGACAGGTTGTTAGGGGAAGAATGCTACAACTAGTGCTACCTGAAGAACTGGAGTGACTTTGTGCTCACTGTGAAAACTGCTAAAGGAAAAGAAACACAGACTATACTCTGTAATGAAAGTCAAAGATCAGGCTTCTACTGCTTAAAAATGAAGACGTTTACTCCCATATAGCCCCCTCCCCAACCACATTGTGCCAACACTGGATAACCAAGCCCTTAAAATATGTGGGTCTGTATATTTTATTTAGTTTCCATTAAATATAAACTTAAAACGCTAAGACTTTATTTAGAAAAATGAGTATATTTGGTACAATTTTAAAGTGTAAATCTACTTTTTTAGCTATAGTTTTAATAAATTTAAGAACAAATTTCTTATGAATATTAAGTTGGGATTTGTTGTAATTTTCTATAAGTATGCCAAATTTTGAAGCTATAAAATAAACTATAAAATATTTAATCACAGATTTGGAAATGCTTTTAATAGGCTGAGTTATATTGTTATAAGCTTTTTGACCTTTTATTTCCTATGCCTACTAGAAAACCTAAGACTATATAATATGATTCACATTTTCTTTGTAGTGGAGGAGTGTATTGTATGGATACATCTTAACATCTGTAATTGCCAACTTGTGGACTGGAAAAGGACAGGGTCACTACAGTTGTAATATAAGGCAATGTAGTTCCTTTGCATTATGCAAGTGCCAAGGACAGCCAGTAGAGGGCAATATGTCTTCACAAACTATAAAACAGGCTACCTATAGAATTATTCAAGTTATTTCTTCAGTTAATCAAATTCTGCTTTCAAAGAATCTCTATAAAATACCCAAGGATTCAAAACGTTATGAAATATATAAAAAATCAAGTAGGATCTGATGAAAACTACAAGCAAATCAAACCATACCTTCATGACCACAGGTTTCTCAAAGTTATAAACAGAATGGGCCTTTCTTTGAATAAATTTCTGAAACTCTGCAAAGAAAGCAACGATAATATTAGTACTCTTCAGTAAGAAGCAGGGAAGAAATACAGACAAAAATGGTCAACTTTAACTCACCATTATAGACCATTTGAAAATTAAAGGGCTCTTCTTCATAGATGTCATTTAAATGTTTCATTGCTATTATAAGACAGATTTCCAAGACTGATAGCCCTGTAATAAAAGAGAGATGTACTCTTGAGTTGCATGACACTGAAATGACTTCCTCCAGAAAATAACTACTGTATGGTGAAGGAATTAAAGGGTAGAGGAGGTCGGGATCCCCTGTACTTAACAGCATTCCAACCACTATTATCTTAAAAAAAAAAAAAAAAAAAACCCTAAGTTTAAAATCTTTTAACTTCCCTGAATATAGTTGTTGTTATTGGCTTTTTGTGGTGGCAGTGGTAGGGGTGGGAAGGGGAGGAGGAGTGATCTACAAAATAAAGATTTTTCTAAACTTAAGAAGATGTACTATAAGTTGGACAGTGATGGTGCACACCTTTAATCTCAGCATTTGGGAGGCAGAGGCAGGTGGATCTCTATGAGTTCACGGTCAGTTTGGTCTACACAGCAAGTTCCAGGACATCTAGAGCTATACACAGAGAAACCCTGTCTTGAAAACCCACCTAAAAGGATGTACTATATATAAGTATGAAAAATTTGATACTATATGGCCTACAGGGAACAGCAGAAATTGTGATTTTCATATAATTTCAAATAACATGCCTTTGGGAGGCATTTATGAAGTTCTGGAAATTTTATCTAAAATGGTGTGCATATCCTCTACTTACCCCACACACTGGAGTAAAAAATGTTCCATTCTCAAAAGCGAGAGTAAATCTCAAATGACCCAAAAGCAACGAATACAGTAGTATTTTGGGTAAGCAAGGAGAACATTATCAATAGTTCCACCTGGAAAACCCATTGGCATGGAAGGCAGCACACCATTTCTTTCACTTTAAGTTAACAGTGATAATACACTGCACGCTATTGAATAAAAGCTTTATGTATATGATGTATTCTGTATACAATGCTCAATACTGATTATAATTTTGGAAAACATTTAAATTCAAACTTTTAAAATCCAAAAGTTAAAGGACTAACAAAGCAGTTTCTTACCATGTATAATACTTGCTTTAGAATCCAAGCTACACAAATGCTGTGCCTCCATCAGATCTGCTGAAGTCATAAATGGGTGTGATACTGTTACTCGAGTTAAAGCAAGCATCTAAAGAAAGGTGTATTAAAAGTTATTTACTTGAATGTTTTAAAAAATTTGTATAGTTTATTCTTATGAGAAAGAAACTAGAGAAAGTGAACCTCAAACTCTGCTTCAAGAAAATGTGGCAGATCCAGTTAAGATGCTGCCGTCTCGCCGAGCATTAGTGACCCACGCCTTTAATCCCAGCACTTGGGAGGCAGAGGCAGGCGGATCTCTGTGAGTTGTGACCTACAGAGCGAGTTCCAGGACAGCCTCCAAAACAATACAGAGAAACCCTGTCTCAAAACAACAACAACAAAAAAGAAAAAAAAGGAAAAAAAAAGAAAAAAAGATGCTGCTGTCTCTATTACTTTGCACCTGAATCATATTTACTTACTGTCCAAAAGAAAAGCATTAAAAGAAATGTCCAACAAGAAGAAACTGAAAATAAGAACACTGTTCAAAACTCAGACACATACCTACACCTATGCACTATACAAATTTTTACAAATAAAATGTAAAGGTAAGTAATTTCTGTTTATAAGTAAGAAATTTTGAAAACAATTGTAACCTTAGACACAACTATCCTCTTCATTTAGTTCTACTCAAGCAATTATCAGCTTCTAGGACTAAGTTTTCAGCTCAAATAAAAATTTCACTGTAATATATGTTGGCTACAAGTATTTAGGGTTTGTAGATGTAGCAGATACAAACATACAGCATCAAGTTAAATGTGCACTTCCATCGTTAAGGACGAGAGATTGGACTTCATTCTTCTACAAACTGGGACTCTGGCCATTTGTGGCTCTTTATTTTCCTATTTTTTTAAAAAAGGAGTTTTCAGGCTAATGGATGGAACTAGAGAAAACCATCCTGAATGAATTAGCCCAAACTCAGAAATACAAACATGGAATGTATTCACTCATAAGTGGATATTAGACATAAAGCAAAGGATAAGCAGACTACAACAATGCATAGCTCCAGAAAAGTTAGGTAACAAGGAAGACCCTAAGAGGGACACATAGATCGCCCTGGGAAGGGGAATTAGATCTCCTTGGGGTGGGGTGGTGGTGGTAAGGGGAACAGGTCTTAAGGTTTTCTATTGCGGTGAAGAGACACCAAGACCACAGCAACTTTTATAAAGGAAAACATTTAATTGGGTGGCTCACATACAGTTCAGAGGTTTAGTCCATTATCATAGTGGCAGGAAGCATGGTGCTAGAGAAGAAGCCGAGAGTTCTTACATCTTGACTCACAAGTAACAGGAAGTGGTCTGAGCCACAAAGTGTGACATGAATATATATACACACATATATATATGAGACCTCAAAGCTTGCCTCTACAGTGACACACTTCCTCTAACAATGCCAAACCTACTCCACCAAAGCCACACCTCCTAATATTGCCACTCCCTATGAATTTATGAAAGCAATTTCATTCAAATAACCACAAATTCAGATTCTCAATCTAAAGATTCTTAACCCACAACGTTATTAGACAAGTTGTTAGCAATGACAGTATACTTTTGATAGGCAGGAGGGAATTAACCTAATGAGAGAGAAGTTTATATGGAGAAAGAGGATTTTCTTCAGTAAAGACAGGAAAGGGGAGAAGAGTCAGTAAATGCAATGTGGCCAGGCTGCTAGCCAAGCCTAGAGCTGAGCCCCACTTTCCCACCCACTAGATAGGAAAGACCTGTTTACTCAGGTGCTTCAGCATTTTTCAAGGGGAAGAAGAAACACCTAAGGATAAAGGGAAATGATTATTGTGAGAAGATTAGATGCTATGTAGAAAAGCAACTGGTTACTGGGCAGATGTGCTACTTCATACATTGTCACTATTACTCATTTCAATTCATTAAAATATACAGAAAAAAATGGACCAAGAAATACCTTATATTTGAAAGGCATGTGCCATCATTTTCTAGAAATATTAGACTAATTTCAAACATTACTAAGGAGTAAAGTACATTAATATTCATAACAAGTATCGATTGGCTTCAACATTATTTATACACCCTGGCATGACACAGCCCTTCAAATACACCAGAAAAAAAAAAAAAAGAAACAAGAAAACAAAACAACTTAAAGAAAAAAAACATGGCTGGGTGGTGGTGACATATGCCTTTAATCCTAGTACTCAGGAGGCAGAGACAAGCAGATCTCTCTGAGTTGGAGGCCAGCCTGGACTAGAGAGACAGAGAGAGACAGAGAGAGACAGAGAGAGACAGAGAGAGAGACAGAGAGAGAGACAGAGAGAGAGAGAGAGAGAGAGAGAGAGAGAGAGAGAGAGAGGAGAGAGAAAGAAAAAAAAAGAGAAAGAAAGGAAAAACATGATCATATCCACTGACAAAAATCTAAGACACATTTATAATAATCTCAACAAATTAGGAATGAAAAAGAAGTTAACAAGGACCATGTACAAGAAATCTTACAGCAAAAATTTATATCATACTAAAATACTGAATGTCTTCCTCTTAAAAATGAGAACAAAGAAAGATGCCCACTCTCACCAGTCTGAGCCAACACGCCATGGCAATAGGCAAGAAAAGACAAAGACTAGAAAGGGAATGAGAGCATGCATCTGTTTGGGGATAATCTGAGCATGTCCACATAGAAAATCTAAAAGAATCTATTTTTAAATTCCGAGAGTTCAGCAAGACTGGACTTTTTATAACTGGACAATTTATAAATACCATTACAACCCGCTTCAAAGACAGTGAGACATCGATACACTTAAAATATGTACTGGATCTGTGTTGAAGAATTAAAAAGTATTAATGAAATCAATCAAACAATAACTAAAGTAAGATGTGTTTTATATCCAAATATTAGGATAGTCAATGTAATAAATACATCATTTAGCCCTAAATGCATCTATAAGTTTAAAAATTTCCCATTAATACATAAGCAGTACTCTTGACTTATATACCATTCATTGGTAGGAATGTAGAAACTGGATAGCTATTATTAAAAACTGTTTAAGGCACTTAAAAATGTTAAAAATACAGATTATACCATGTGTGAATGTATAAAACATTCCATTAATATGTAGTTTTTGTTTCCATACATCAGGCAAAAATAAATATATTTAAAAAATACAAACCAACAGCGTATGTAATGACCGTAAGCTTTTGTTGACATTGAAAAGTTTCTGTAGAACTTCACGCACAGTTGAGTCTTCTGAGAGAGACTAAAAGAATCAAAACAAAACAATAAATCAAAATTAAGCATATTGTAGCTTAATCCCAAATTTCCAATCTAATAAGAAAAAAATATAATCAACCTAGTGGGATGGTGGAACAGAATGCAGCACAAGCACAATACAGAATGAGAGTTAGTATACTTGAAAAAAAGGGGAAGTATTAAGTGAATGTAATGGGAAGATTGTGAAGAGCTATAAGAACAGAACAGAAGCAAGATTTTTGCAAAGTGACACAAAAGAGAGTCATAATATTCCTTAAGTACAGTTATTTGCAAAGGGACTGAACAGAAAGAAAAAGAATGTCTACTGGAGCCAATTACAATTGTTGGGAGGATGTATCAACAAGAAGAAAAACAAAGATAACTATTGTGGGGATGAGGAGGGCACAGAGTACCTGTGACTATTAAGATGTGTTCAAGAAGTGAGGCGTCAGTTATAATTAAAGTAGTAGATAGAAAAATGAGCAAAGAAAAAGCAACACTAAGGCCTGGAAGGATGTACCAGAGACCACAGCAACCTAGAAAACAAGATGCATTTGTTATTTTTCTTCTTGCTGAGAAAAAAAATACCTAACCTAAAAGCACTTTTTGGTCCTCCTTTTGAATGGTACAATCCAACACAGAGTAGAAGACATGATGGTAGGGGATTGTGGCAGTATGTGTCAATGTGTAAGCACTGTAGCAGGAAGATGGAGGTGATGAATGTTATTTCTTAGCTCAGTTCCCCGTTTTTCTTTCCCTCCCATATGGAACTCCAGAACACGAGATGGTGGCACCCACATTCCCATTGGGTCTTCTTTCCTTTCTAGTTAAAAATTTTCTGGCCACTCACAGATACATGCAGAATGTGCTCGATGGTGGTCTAAACTTGAAGTATATTTCCATGGTGACATGAAGATTAACTGTCACACAAGTGAAGAAACTTCAAAATGGAAGTAATAATCAACAATTCAAACTAGTTTGTAAACCTAAACAGGTACACTAAGAGGACGCCAACGGATAAAGAAATATGGAGACCAATAGGGCTCTTTGCTGAAGCAAGAGTCAAATAATTCTAGAGAATTGGGATTCAGGTAAGGAAACAGCACTGAATAAAACACTAGATGAAAAGAGTAAACTCAATGGTGACAGAACAAGGAAAGACGCATCAGCACGTTCCATAACTTTTCACATGTCGTCTGCTTGGTATTAATGTCCCTTTTCCTTAAAGAAGTTAAAACAAAAACAGTAACAAAATAATGACCATGGCAAGCTATAATCATGGTAGCCATAGTGTCACAATTATTATGGACAAGATTTATGACCCACTGCACAAGAGGTCCATGCCTAGTACTGTAATTACAGCCAAGAACCTATGGTTGGGGACATCCTAGGGGTAAAACTACTACTCTTCTATGTCCTCTAAATTCTTCTCAGCACCCTGACCTCATCAGAAAAAGGTTTGTTTGGTGTGTGTGTGTGTGTGTGTGTGGCAGATGGTGTAGCAGATGGTGGTTAATGGAGAAACTCACAACTGGTCAAAGTGCAGAGGGTTGGTGTTTGGCCAGAAATGTGACATCTATATGTTACAACTCCTCCCCAAAGTGTAGAAACCATCTCAGAAGAGGGCATAGAAAGATTTTAGGAGCCAGAGCAGAACTGCTATATTCATGAACTCATGGCAGCTGATATTATCTGAACAAGATAAAGCCAGTTAGCATTCTAGCTGAGAAACTAAGACTAGGAAAGTTAGTTATTTGTTCCTGGCAGGTTGACCAGTCTCCAGCAGATGGCCCCATAATCAAGAGTATATGGACAGCACAAATACAACAAAAAAGGATGACCGAAAGACACTGTATGATACTTTCAAAAAAATTATTGAAGACTTCTAAAAAAAAAACCAAAACAAATATAAAACCTGCTAAAACACCCAAAACAATAACAAAAACCACAGACAAACTAAATGTTTATATCTTTACTACAAATATTTTGCTTTTTTCACCTCAAAAGTTATCTATATTTCAGGAATAAGCTATTGTCTCTTAAAATTTCAGGCTCTCAGTACATCTATTTTTCTAGTTAAAGCTCCACTTAATCTTTCTTTGAAAGGACTTGTCAAAACTACAGGCATCAAACAACCTGCTGCAAGGTCAGCACTGAAGTAATGGCTAGCTCACCCAACCACATTTACCACATCCCCACCCAAAAGAGGAACTCTGGCCATGGTGCTGACAGACTTCCAAGTACTTTTTACTCTCAAGGGAGGTAGCACAAGATGAGTGTCCTGAGAGAAACTAAGAACTGCAAGCCCTAACAGCCCGAGGTCTCTTTTAAATATCAAAGATGTATGTAAGTCTGTCACAAGAAAAAAGATCAATTACCACTTAGGTTTGGTTGGGGGCTATACAGCCTGAAAACAAACCATAGAAAAATAAAAAAAGAAAGGTGAGAGTGGGTGGTCAGGTAGCCACACCTGAGGGTAACAAGAGAAGGTAGAGTTGTATCTAATTCCTTGGTATCCTGCCTGGATGCAGTTAGGTGTGAGGGAACCAAGAAAACTGTAGGTGCTTCTTGATAAGTGTGCTTTCCAGTGGACAAATGCTTCTTTATGGCTAAACATACTTGAAGTCGAAGTTAGTTCTTCCTACCATTTCAGAAACTGAGGTGCCAGGAAACTTTCACATGCTAATTAAGGATCTGCATCCTCAAAAGAGCCTGATATTTCAGAGAGTGTGGGTGTTTCAGAAGTACTTTAGGAAATAAGCAACTGAAAAGGAAGATTTGGTTCACCATGATTTGCCAAGAAGAAAAGAGTACCTCTAACTCATGCCACCCATAAATATCCACAAACCCTGAAAGGACTCAATGAGTCAATTCAGTGTTTGAGGCATCATGTTCTCTAATGGACAACCTTTTGCTTTACTTTGCTAAATAAATATCTACCAAAACTATGTCTTAGCTGAATTCTTTAAGACCAATCAGACATCTTTACCTGCAGATGAAATTATCCTAACATTAAATTGTATCCACTTTTTAAATCATCTAGACTAGTGCTTCCCATCAATCTCTAATTATATTAATTACTCAGTGCCTATAGGAGACTGAGTCAAGGAAATACCCTAGACAAACAAAGCATGAGAAATCCAATTTTGTGATATGAAAAGATAACGGTATTTTGGGTGTGTAACCACCGATGCACATTTCTGTATACTGCCTAACACATTGTAAATGCTATGTACATAGTTTTTTATGTAGGTTAGTTTCTAAAGTCACCTGGGAAGATAGGCTCATAACTGAGGAACTATATGAACCAAAATGGTCTGTGAGCATGTCTGTAGAGGCATTTTCTTGATTAAGGATTGAAGTGGGAGGGTGTAGCTCACTGTAGGCGGAACCATGTGGCAGGCAGTCCTGTCATGTATAAGAAAGCAAACTCAACAAGCTAGTAACAGCATTCTTTCACAGTCTCTGCTTCACTTCCTGCCTTCTGGTTCCTGTCTTGGCTTCTCAATGATGGAGTCTAACCTGAGAACTATATAAATCCTTTTCACCTGAAGTTACTTTTCATATCTACAGCAACAGAACTAGGTCATTATTATACTGCATTATTAACAAACAAAAGCCTATATATGCTCAGTATGAGTGCCATTATTTTATTCTGTTTAATTTTCATGGGTTTAAAATTATACACATAATGCAACATAGATGGTGACCTTGGCTGTAAAGTCACCTTAAGAAAAAGGAGTAAATAGGCACAAAAATAATAAAATCAGTGGAAAAGAAGACATTTAATTATGAAAAACTGCATGTAAATCTCTCAAAAACATAATGGATTAACACTATTAGCTCAAGAGCTATATAAAGGTAAATTTTGTTATGCATTGAAAAGTAAAGCAAGTGGCCAGAGATCCAGATGTTAAAATCCAGAACACAGTAAGAAAAGGAATAATGCAAATGACAAAGAACATCCTCCCATAAAAAGATAACTTAAATCAGACACAGTAGCATAGTAAAACCTGCCTTGTTAACTAACAATCTCCTGGAAGGGAAGATCCAAAATTAAGTTATTTGTAAAATTAAGATATTATACACGTTTATATAGTGTGCTGTATTACATATAATAGTTGTGATGGTCAATGCTAAGTGAATGGCCACTGTAGGCTTACGTATTTGATTGCATAGTCACCACAGAGTGAAAGTGTTTGAAATATTAAAAGGATTAGGAGTCAAGGCCTTGTTGAAGAAAGTATGTCACTGGAGTGTGCTTTGAGATTTCAAAAGCCCATGCCAGGCCCAGTCTCTCCCTCTCCCTCTGCTTGTGGATCAGGATGATGCTCTCAGCTACTTTCCAGCGCCATGGCTGCCTGCCACCATGCTCCCTGCAGTAATAATAATGGACTAACCCTCTCAGACAGTAAGCCAGCCCCAATTGAATGCTTTCCTTCATAAGAGTGCCTTGGTCATGGTGTCTCTTTAAGACAACATCTATTTCAATTCACCAGCCCACCGACCTGGGGTCCTGGGATGATTGCAGGTGCTGTTGACCAGCTATCAAAAGCTCCAGCCTCCATGACTTTCCCACCACTATACCCTAACACTCAACTACATACTCTCAAAATAAACCCTTCCTACTCTAAATTGATTTCCCGATGTAGTTTGTTATAGCAATAATTACTGTATAAGTGGGGAAGTATGAATCAGAACAAAGTTAAAATAAAAAAGTCATATGAAAGCACTAAACTCTTGTTAAAAGACAAAATTTAAGTTTGCAAGTAATGCATAAATGTTATAAACAAAATAAGTAGGGCTAGGATAGAATGTAGTGGTGGTCTGGTTGCATAGTATACACAAGAAAGATGCCATAGCCTGGATAGCCTCTTAATAAACTAATGAAACAAAGCTGAAGTCGGTTATGAGAACTGGAAAATAAAAATATGTACAGGATAAGCATGAACTGTCAATATAGTCTCTTGTCAAATATGCAAAACATAGAAAATAAAACTTAAACTATGTAAATTTGCTAAAAAATTACCTAAACTGTTAACTAGATATAGACAAAAACTTCAACTACTGATAAGAGTGCTAAAGCTCTTAGCCTGAAGTTCTTCTGAAAAGGGATAATTAAGGTGACAAGATAAGTCTATGACTCCTAAATAAGAAGTTTATAATTTCATTCCTCTAGTAACATGAAAAGATACACATTTCTTTGCCACTATTATTTCCTTCAACTTGCCTGAGCATTCTCATTCCACCTCTCAGCAAAAACTTTATTTGGGAATTCTTCAGGTAGAGATAATTGTTCTTTAAATATTTTCATATATTGTGGAAAATCAAATGAATTCATTAAATGTATCTGCCGGTGAGAAAACCGTGACTTCACTCTCTTTTCCAAGAGTTCCAGAATATCCTTGAAAGCAAAAAAGAAATCTGTATAAGAAGCATGTTGAAAAACATGCTAATAGATAATAAGCAAATATAGCTTGCAATTAGCACCATTTATTTATAGTCTACCAGTAAGCATTTTAAATTGAGGGAAACTAAATCAGTGCTTCTCAACCTTCTTAATGCTGCAACCTTTTAATATAGTTCCTCATGTGCTGACCCCAACCATGAAATTATTTCATTGCTACTTCATAACTGTAATTTTGCTGTTATAAATTTTTAAAAAGATTTTTATTTATTATGTATTATGTCTTCTGCCTGCCTGCCAGCAGAGGGCACCAGATCTCATTCAAGGTGGTAGTGAGCCACCATATGGTTGCATGGAATTGAACTCAGGACCTCTGGAAAAACAAGTGTTCTTAACCGCTGAGCCATCTCTCCAGCCCGCTGTTATGAATTTTAATGTAAATATCTGATATCCAGGATGATCTTAGGTGACCCTTGTTGTATGCGAGTCAAAAGTTGTGAACCTTGAAACTAAATTCCTTTCTAGGAAACCAGTAGCTTGGTTTCCTGCCCAGATATCAAGTGTTACATTCCCAAGTCTATACTAAGGACACTCAAAACAGTGACTATTCCTGAACTCAGACTAACAGTAACACCAAGCACATCAGTGTGGTATTCTGCACAGCTTATAAAAAGTTCACATAAAAATCTGAAATAATAAAAATAAGAGATATTCATGATTATTATCTGTTTTTGTTTTTTGAGACAGGGTTTCTCTGTACAGCCTTGGAACCTGTCCTAGAACTCATTCTATAGACCATGATGGCCTCAAACTCAGAGATCTGCCTGCCACTGCCTCTTGAGTGCTGGGATTAAAGCAAATAAATCTTAAAAAAAAAAAGACAAAAAAGGCAAGACTTTGTAAATGAACCCAAGGCTTACCTATTTAATTAGATTCTCTTGTCTCTATCTCCCCAGGGATGGTTTACAATGGACCACCATCACATATGGCTTTTTATATGGGTGCTAGAGACTGAACTTAAATCTTCATGACCCTGGTAGTATAATCCTGTAATTTGTGCCACTCAAGAGAAACCTAAATTGCCTGAGATTTTTGAGTTCAAGGACAGTCTGAGAAACAAGTGAGATTTTTATATTAAAGCACTGAGTATAATTCAGTGGTAAGAAAGACTGTTTGCCTATTATGTATAAAGTTTTAGGGTTCAATTCTCATGACTAGACATTAAAAAAAAAGGTAAAGAACAAAAAGACTCATATAGCTATATAACATTCTCAATACTTAGAATGGAAGTGAGATCATTTTAAAACACAAGTCAATCAATGAACCCATTCTACAGTTGTTAAAGATTGATATATATCTAGATATATATTCTTAGTAAGTTATATCAAAGTATGAAAGTAATCGTGTATGATGAAGTAAAAAATACCCATCTTTATAAAATAATACTGGTATTACTTAACTGTTTCTTTACTCGTTATAGTAGAACTCTCACTTATTAGTATTTGTAGGTTTTATTCCATGATTTCATTGGTAGGACTAAACCTTATAGTGTATATATCAATTCTTTCCTTGTTTTCCTCAAGTAAAAAGCAGGGTCAAGGTATAAAGAATTAAAGAAAGATAATTTTCAAAGTATCTTAAAACTTACTTCAAGTAAGTTTGCATTTTTATTTTTAATGAAAAGACTTACCAATCTGCATGTAAGACCAATAACTGCTACTGGTGTCTGTGCAGATTGAGAAATGTCAAAAAGATTATAAAGGAGGGTCTGGTTTTTCTGATGAGCAAAAAGATCAAATTCATCCAATATGAAGATCACCGGGCAACTGCTGGCACGGTCACCTAAGAAAAAAAACGACAGTTTCAGATTAACAAGAAATTATATCAACCTTTCTTTTATGTCCAAAATGAAATACTTCAGTTTAAAATTAAACTCAACACAAACTACTCAGAGCAGGGCACTTACAAATGCAGGCTCACTCACTCATATAAAGGTATCTACAGGACAAAGATAACTTTTTGTTCTAAAGTAGACTAGTTTCAGGAGTCTAGCAGTTTGATGAGGAAAGCTGAAAAAGTCATTCGCAAAACAGCTTTATAATTATGTAAGTGTAGTTCCTTAATAATTACAAAGATGACTTTTTAATACCATCAAAACACTTAGAGAATATAAAGTAGTCAATAATGAATAAAAACTGTTGCAAAAGAGACATTTTTAGCTAGTAGAGAAATGGACAATGCACCTTCCTATTTAAAGTTTTTTCAACAAATACCCAATTAGAAAATGAAGTTCAATAAAAAAAAAAAAAACACTAAAATTACTTTAACTACAAGTTTCAATATTTCAATCAGGTAATGTTCAGTAGCACTCAATACATTTTCTTCCAATCATTAAAATTTTAGGAATAATTTACATTTATTTTTAAGGCAAAGATTAAGAGATTTATTTATTTACCCAGCTAATAAAACAAAACAAAACAACCTGAGCTTAAACGATTTAATTTTGGCAAGAAAACAAAACAACAAAAAAGAACAAACACTAAAACAAAGCAGAATTAGGAAATAGTAAAGAAACAGTATTTATAAAAGAATGCCAGTATCTCAATAAGGAAAATGGTTTACTCAACATCAAATCACTGCATATAAAAATAAATCTGTGGCCTTGCTGGCATATACAAGCAATCCTAACAATCTGGAGGGTAGATGCTGATGATAAAGTAGTTTTAAGAGTCAGCCTTAGCTATAAAGTGCAGCCAAGGACAGCCTAGGCCACATCAGATACTGTCTCAAGAAAAAAAAAAAATCCAACCAAATTACATTTAGAAGTATGTGTATTAAAAGGGAATATTGGTGCAAGATTTTATAATTTGAAGGAGACAAACATATCTTTTAGGTAAAAGTAATGTACAAACTTAAAACTTTTATTCACTTAATAAGTACAAACAAAATTTAAGGCATAAGAAGTTCTATAAAATGGTAATAGATAAACAGCACCAAAATAAGGTGAAGTGTCAGTAAGAAATAACAATGGTCAGTCAAAACATCAAACAAATAGCCATCACCACAAACCAAGGTATGCAAATTAAATAACAAAATTATACAAATGAAACTGATATTGGCTTCTGTTCTACAAGCTACTAAAGATGAAATTACTGTTTCTGAACTCTAGGAAGAAAAAGGATTCTCAAATATGTTTCAAAGACACTTAAGCAATACTCTTTTCAAAATAGTACATTTTAATCCAAATTTCAACTCATTATAATTAACTGGACAAAGACACATAAATAATTATTTAACATTTACAATCTCTTTACAAAAAAGAATTTAAACAACCATAATTATTAAGTAACAGGCAAAATGATTTTATTCTTGTTTGTCTGAGACATGGTCTTATTCATACCGTCCTTGAGCTCATATTCTTCCTAATTTAATCTACCAAGTGCTATGATTACAGGTGAGTAATTACAGTTCTTTTATATTTTACTTATTACTAGTGCTGATGTCAGAGGGTGGTATGTGTGTGTACAGGCTCTAGCAGGTTATGTGCACATGTGGAAATCAGAGGATATATAACCTTCAGAAGTAAGTTTTATTGTTAGTGTCAGGATATGCATGTGTGCAGGTTCTAGGGCGTTACGGCATATGCAGAAGCAAGAGGATAATTTTCAGAAGTCAGTTTTCACCCTATATCTTCAGTTCTGGGAGCACACTCAGGTTGTCAAGCCTGTGTGGGATGCACAATTACTTGTTATGCCATCTCACTGATACTGATTTTATCCATAAAAAGCTGCATTTATAAGTACACCAATGATGTGTGGCAGCTGACTGAAAGAAAAATAGCGAATACTGAAATCATTACAGTCATGGCACTACCGTGGCCATTAGCTTATTAGTTTAATTCTCATATCCTTTTTTTGGGGGGCCACTAAAAGCTTTTAATATTTAAATCATCAGAGAAGACTATAGTTCAAAATTCTTTTGATAATTCTGAATTTCAATTTTTTACAAATATCTTAACATGTACCTTTTTTTAAAGCTTCCAGAAGAAATGAAAGGTTTTCAGCAAAGCTTCCCTAAATAACAAAAATATAGAAAGACTGAGTCTTAGTAACATGAAAAAGGCTGAATTTTAAAGATGTTTGCAAAAAATAATACATTGCTTTTACTAGGAAACTAGTCATTGAATAAATTCTCAGTTGAGTATATCCACATTAGTTATCTATAACTTAAATACCAAAATAGGAAAAGTAAAGCTCAGAAAATGATAGCACTATGTTACATGTGAAACTTCATATTTTCTGTGCAATACTGGTAGAAATTTTAGAAGAGTGTAGTTTTTGGAGGGCTAGATTCTGAATATAGTTGGGAACTAGAAATATATTCCATTTGATATCTTTAAACACAATATATTTCTACTCAGAATATGTACCACTAAAAAACAGTACAAATTAAAATCAAATCCAAAAAGAAAAGAATTGCTTAAAATATTAAACACAGTATTTTTACTTATGAATACCTTAACAACTCTGTGTTTGTTAAATCAAATTTTTCTGTTTATTTGACATACATATAAAATACTTTTGGACATAATTTAAACATTCTCGAAGAAATCTAGAGTAATGGTTAAATTACCTAGATTTTCCAGAACTGGAGTAGAAACTCCCTTAAAATATTTTCTTATTAAAGTTAGTAAGTTTGTCTTTTATTTAGATATTTCAAATCTTTTTGTAAAGATTTATTTCTAATTAGGGGTGAGTATGTGTCTGTCTGCATGTGGGTATGTGTACATGAGGTATGGCATAAAGGCCAGAGTGCTAGGTTCCTGACCTGGAGTCAGAATCAGTTGTGAACCTCCTAATAGCATGGATGCTGAAACCAAACTCATGTCCTCCAGAAGAGCAGCAAGTGCTCCTTACCATTAAGTCCCATCCCCTCATTCACATGTTTTAAGGAAAAAGTGAACTTTAAATTTGAGATGCTACAAAAAGAGAAGAGAAACTTCTGGTTTGTTTTCCAACTGAAAGAATCTGATAAAGCATAAACATTTGTAATTTTTTTTACATTTATTTATTTTGTTTGCGTGTCTGTGCAGCACTTTTGGAGGTCAGAGGACAACTTGCAGGAGTTAACTATTTTTCCGCCTTTAAGTAGTTTCTAATAAACTGAACTTAGTTTGCCAAGCTGGTTAGCAAGCACCTCTACCCACAGAGTCATCTGAATAGCCTACCATAGTTACTATGCTTACCAGAACAACAGAGAGCAAACTAGAATGTTATCTAGACATATTAGTTCTGGTAATGAACTGTTTAGGAAATAATAACAGAGTGCAAAGTCTGTACAGGTTCAGTATGAACACAATTTTTTTTCCTTGAATATCTTCAGTTTGCAGTTGGTTGCATACAGATGCAGGACCTAAACAAGAACAAAGGATTGACTCTCTTATGCTGACAATAACAGCAATGATTAGGATAGTAAAACAACTGTCAGTTCCATTAGTTCACCCAAACACAGTACCAATATGTCCATTCAGAAACATTAGAAATAACTTTCCAGATCATTTGGAAATTAAAAGCTAATAGGAACTCTTTTTGATCAAATAGTAAGCTACTAGCTTAGAGGTATATTCTAAATAGAAGGTAGAGCATAGTACTTATAAAAAAGGAACACTTTGACTTTCCTCTTCCACAACTTGCAAAGCAGAGAAGGAGAGCATACAGTTGGCGCAACTTTTCTCTGCTGAGAGAATGCAATTCCCAGATACTAAGAAGTGTGCCCACTAAGACCAAACTAGACTCCCTTAATATAGGTGACAAGGGTGCGAATGGGAGAATATATGAGGCCACTGGTGGTGGGTCCAAGATCTAACTCTAAGGCACAAACTGACTAAGTGCAACACATTCTATATGGAGAGATACTTTACTCAACCTAGACACAGGGGGTGCGGGGGGAGCGGTGCCTTGGTTCTGCCTCAAAGAGATGATGGGACAGACTTATTAAAGACTTCCTAGGGGAGGACTTACCCTCTCCGAGGAGCAGATGGGAGATGGGGGGTTGGTAGGAGGAGAGGGAGGAGAGGAAGGAGGGAAAACTGGTATCGGAATGTAAAAAAACATAAAATAAGATAAAAAAAAAGAAGTATGCACGGCTATGCTCATATTGCAGCACAGAGCAAACAGTGATAAGGTAAGAGTGACAGCACTTACAGGAACAGTAGTGGACAGAAAATGGACTTGGGATATTATCTCGGCTGCATATGCAGTCTCAGGATAGTACATAAGGACGTGGATTACTCTTGTTTTCTTTAAGTCATGCAAGTTAGGTAAACAGAGAAGCAGTTTAATGAGAGATCTGAACACTTCAAATTAGTCTGAAGCACTACTAGTGTCTAAAGACTACAAGACAACACTGTAAGTTGTGGATATGAAACAATTCATATAGGACATTACCATCCAGTATTTTATTGTTTTTTTTTTTTTTTTTTTTGAGACAGGCTTTCTCTATGTTGCCCTAGCTCTCCTGGAACTTGCTCTGTAGGCTGGCCTCGAACTCACAGAGAGCCACCTGCTCTGCCTCCCACGTGCTGGGATTAATGGCATGAACCATGACTACCTAGCCCGTCATCCAGTACATTTAACCAAGTGGAAATTTAATGCTTACTCCCTTGTTCAGAATAATCTTGTAAAATGTAGAAAATAAAATCTACTTAATACAAGAACTTGACATTGAGAGACATTCAATAGCCCAACAGGGAATCAAATCATAGTAACAACGTAATAAACTAAACCACTATGCTATTTTTAAATTCAGCAAACATCTATCCATTCTGTCCATGCCACTTCACAAGTCTTGCTTAAAAACTTTTACTTCAACCAATAATAAATGCTTGATGACTAAATATATCTTTTAATGACAAAATCAGTTTTTTCTAATGTTTCTCCCAACTTTCCAGAAATAAAACATCTGAAATGATACTTACAAAGACTTTATCTCCAACTACATTTTCTAGATTTAATTGTCTTGTGATCTCCTTCAGAGCAATTTTATCATTTATCTGCATCAGTCCTGAAATACAGCCCAATTAAAAGCATCTAATTAAAATGATGCAAGTATTTAATATGAATTATTTTCCAGGTAAATATGTTGTCTAATGCTTTTTATATTCAACTAGAGAGAAAACAATCATTCTGCTAGCTCATATTAATTCCTTTAAAAAAATGATAAAAAACCATTCCTTTGAGACAATACTATTTAAAAAAAACTACTTTTAAAAAAGTTATAATATACTATCCTCTAATTAATTTCTAAAGGTCCTTAAACTTGCATACAAGTTTCAAAATACAATATTTGAATAGACTTAAAACACAAATGATTTTACTTTCATAATAAGCAAATCTATGTAGTGTGCATCATTTCTTAATGGGAAAATAATAATACACTCACCATTTAGGTGAACTTGTAACACATTTTCACTCACTTCTCTTATTTCCATGAGTTCTTTCAAAGCACGATTTATTAACTAAATATAAAAATATGTAAAATGTTTAATATAGCAAGGATGAAATGAAGCCACTGTTGTTTTATAAATAAACCACTTTATAGCTAAAAGGTTTAAATATGTAGAATTTATTATTTTGTCAAGAAATAAGGAAGAACAATTAGTTAAGCAGAAAAAAGCAAGTATTTGCAAATGGCTAAATAAAGAGAAAAACCATACTAATGAAAGTTAGCTGGATGTGGTGACACAAGCCTGTAATGACAGTACTCAGGAGCCGGAGGATAAGAGACTGAAGGTCAAGAAGATTCGCAACGTGAGCTATATGAAATTCTGTTTCACAAACCAACCAACAAACGAATCCAAACAAAAACTACCACCACAAAACAACACAAGATTTAAAGTAAAAGGTTGCATTTAAAAGATTACTAATAATAATTTCTATGAAAATATACCCACAAAATATTGCAATGTCTCAAAATGTTTAATTACAGGCTTCAAATTTTCTGCATAATGGCTCTGTGCCACATACTTGTATTCTTCTAACATTTGAGGTGCTTTATCATAACATCATATACAACTGTTGCAATCATCACTGCATACCCATTAAATTTGTAAATGAGGAAAATTAAGGAAAACTTAGAATCTTTTAAATGAGAAATAAGGACTTTTCAAAACATAAGTGCTCCAGGAAAACAGATATAATTAAATTAGAGCAGACAGACAGGCAAAGACAGAAAGAAAAACCATTCAACAAAGACAGAAATATAACTGGTAAACTATTTTTAGAAATAGAACATATTTATATTTACAATATGCTGATGATCTATGTTACAACAACACTGTGCAAAAGGACCAGCAAATTTTTATATATATTTTAAGTTGCTGGTTTTCACACACACACAAAAAAAGAAACAGATAGTAAACAGAAACTACTTTTGATATAGCTACATAGATTTTTAAGTACAGGGAATTCTACTTTAAATCATAGGTAACCTAGATCTAGATCTCTTCAAAACCAAGTCTTTCAGGTACAACTGTCCAACTACTATTGTAGCCCAGCTGAGAAGTAACAGTAAAAAACACATCATGGGTAAGAAGGTGTTTTCTGCCTTTGGATCAGGTCAAAGTCTATCACAAGAATATCTGTATATGATACAAACTTGTTCCCTTAAAACACTACTTTCAACATATTTTTAAAAAGTATTGAATTGAGTGCTGCCTCCTGTCTCATATATATCACTGACATTTACATTTTATTTGTTTGCCATTTTATGTTTCCATTAATGAATCATACTATTAGAAAACATTTCATATTCTTCAAAGAATAGACATTAATAAAATTTTCATTTCATAAATGCATTGAGGGAACTTGGGTACTCTTCTACTGACATAATCTACACAGATTCACTCCCTTGCATTTGTTCACTACTGTTATGATGGTATATGACTCACAATAAGCATAAAGGAAGAGTAAATAATGTCCTAGTAACCCATGGAGGTCTGAGATGTCTGATTCTCTAACTTAGCCACTTACATAACCAAAAATTGCTAAAGTAAAAAAAGAAAATCAAGTCCCAGGGTTTTTCCCATAAAACAAAAATTAAGGAAAATCATGTAATTCTAAGAGGAGGAAGAAAACAACAATAACAACAACAACAACAACAAAAAAAAAAACCCAAAATTTACGAGCAATAATATTATCCCCAGACATTCAGGAAGTTATGTAAAACAACCAAAAGCACAAATTATTTACATAGTCCTCTTGTTAAAAAAACAAACAAAAACACCCCCAAATTTCACTAAGCCACTTGCAAAAGAAAACTAAAATTGAACACAAGGACCAAAGCAAGTAGAGTCAAAAAAAACTTACAAGAAATGTGAAAATTCTTGAAACAGTACATAAGTTATTATAACCAATTTATGTGCTTTATACAACAGAAATAGTAGCAAAAACCCCCTAATTTCCTCATCTTATATAATATAGAACCAACACATACTGCCTTAAAAAATAGACATTAATTTCAATTTACTAATTTAAAAGAATATTAAGTAAGAAACTAAAATTCATGTAACAAATTTATTTGGTATTATAAAATACAAGAAAAGTATAATTTATACAGTTAAGCACCTTAAAAGTAAATATTAACACACTCAAATGTAGATGTATATAATTTATTTCCTATACTGCACAAAAGTAACAAATGTGTTAGGGGCAAGCATTTTTTTCTGAGGTTACCTAACCAAATATGATAAAGAGGAAAGTATGACATAAATATTGAAGTTGAGTACATATGAAAGATTTGATTAAAAGTTAATTATAAACTGTAAAAGAGTAAACTATTAGGTGGGGAAGTAAAGAATACTTAAAAAGAGCACAGGTCTGGGAAGAGATGACACGGAGGATAATGTGTCTACCGTAAGCATGTGGTCCTGAGTTGGGATCCTCAGAACCCATGTGTGGTAGCATGTATTTAAACTCCCAGTGCCAATGGGAGGAGACAATAGAATTGCTGAAAGATTATGGGAAAATATACTGTGCAGAGAACATGAAAGAAGATCACCCCCAGTCTCAAATTAGGTGGAGCACAAGGACCAAGGATCAATACAAAATTTATCCTCTGACTCTATATACACCATGACATTATGAGTACACAGACACAGACACAGACACACACACACGGGCGGTATATGATCAGTAGATCAGTACTGCTTATTTGTCAACTGGCAGTCTTTAATATAACACAAAGGACAAAAGACAACGACAGAACCAATATTGAGAAAAAATAAAAACTTGTCACTGTGAGGAAAGATAAGTTTAAAAAAAGCATGATCAATTTCAATACCACATCCTAAATTTGCAAGATTTCTGCATATGTTTTGCAATTTAAAAGGTATAGAAAACACAGAATGTTGCAACATAATGAAATGAAAAACATTTTCAGTGTCATCTGATGTAAGAAACGTCAAATGTCTATTAAAGCAATGATACATGAAAAACCTAATTCTTTACCATGGTTTTTCCTGATCCTCTTGGTCCAACAATAAGTACAGAGTTACTCTCTCCATTGATAGCAGTTCTTTTGAGTAGCTCAATTAAATGCCTAAAATGACACAAAAAGATGAAAAACTTAAAAATGACAGTGTAATAATTTACTGAATCAAACCTTTAAAAAGCTAAATTCGAAGGTGCACATTCTCTCCTTTGGACTCTTTAGGCTGTGAGAATCTAAATTTTCCAGTACAGAATACAGAGAAAGGATCATAGTCCAGTTGAGACTTTCTAGAGACCTGAAGAGGAAACCCAGGAAGGTTGGAATTTATTAGTTTGATAGTGGTAGAGGATAAGAGACAATAATTATGGTAATTTTCAGGTCCCCTGGGCTTAGAGAAAACTATTTTTGCTAGCATTTTAGTCATCAGTAACTTAACTGGCTGCCAGGTATTAAAGATAAGAATGTCAGAATGATAATAGACAGAAAAGAAGTACTAAGGGACCATTCCACTATAAGTACTTGTATGTGTTCTTGTTTCTTAATATTCAACATTTCTATAAATAAAACATAACTTCAACATCATTATTTAAGATAAAAATCTGTGTATGACTAGGATTTACAAAACTTGGAAAGTAAATGTAAATATATTTATAATAGAGGAACTAACAGCTAGACTTACTTGTATTGTACTTCCACTCCAAATAAGTTACTATGTGGACTCTGATGACAAAATCTTTCACGTAAAATTCTTTGTACCTGATAACATAAGATCCACAAAATTAAAATATTACACATGCAGTAAAAATGAAAGTTTATTTGTAGCAGTCAGGAAATAGTGCTATGGCATCATTTTTATGAGTTACAAAACTCGATTCTTCACTTATGAATTCTCAGATAAATAATGAGAATTTGGTTGGGAACATGTCATTAAATGGGAGAACTATCTCAATGTATAACCAACTCGAAGGCTATTCCAATGTACATGAATGACTAAGTTTTTTCCTTTGTGTACAATGTCATCCAAAGAGCAAAGACTACAAGAAATGTAACAATGCAATCCAATCCAATAGTTAATGCCAGTGCAATTACACAGTCTATAGTCTCTCTAGAGACTAACACATTTAAAATGGCTTAACTTAGTCACTATTAATCTGTACCTGCCTTAAAGTCAGGATTCTGCATAAAACTAAGCTTAAAAGATTCATGTAATTTTAAATACCCACTAGATTTCAAGCACAGAAATATTACGAGGATATTGATTTAAAAATATACTGTAAAAAGGCAGAAATGACAAGTTCAAATTAAAAACTACAAAACAGTACTAGATCAACCTAAAAGCCAGTGTTTATGTCACAGAAATGACATTTAACTAAGTAACTTATCTGGCCCATGAATGTAGTTCTATGATAAACCTACTGTTTATCATATATGTCCAGACCCTGGTTTCTACCACTATAACTGCAAAAACAAATAAATATTTAAATAAGTGAACAAGAAACAGAAAAGTAAGACATCATTGGAGCAAACTAAAAAAAACAAAAAAATAATTAGTTAAAAGTAGCTGTTTTTAAATTCGTCTTAGAATTATTGTCTTAGACTTAATTGGAAAAAAAAAGTCAAAATAATCAAGTACTCTTAAAAAGCAAGCCATTGTAAAGTTACTCCTTTTCTGGATCTGGCACTAATACAGTAGTCATTCAGGGGTAATCCTCTGGTAGCTGGCTAAGAAGATTTGCTTATCTCAGACCAAGTTGTCACACTATAAAATACCAAAGATAAAATGTGATTTTTTTTTACATGTATAGAAGGAAAAAAATGATTCACGTGTTTATTATTTTAGATGAAGCACAAACAGAAATGGGATTGGTGCCAAAGTCATTTAAGTGACCATTAAAAAGTCAAGTCTTTTCCAGATCTTAACATCTAAATAAGAGAGTATTAATACTTTTGGGTCAGGCCTATTTTGAAGTTATCTATAATGCAATATAGGAATTATGCAGGTAATAATTAACACCCATTAATCACTAAAATGGACCACAGATAACTAAAGAATTAATGAATTATATCTATTCCTCTACTTGGTTAAGATCATCAGAAATAAACACAAACTTTAACTCTTTCCTTAAATAAAAGAAAACCTCATTAAAATTTATTGGATAGGAAACTATAAATAAACACAAAGTTGGGAATAGGAAAAAAGAAATGAAAGAAGACTAAAAATTTCCAAAGTAATTGGAATGTAGGTTAAACAGGTATTTAGAATCAACTCATGGAAGAACTATTCACATATAAAAACACTATCTTTTAAGCAGTATTTTTTTCTTAAAAAAGAAAAGTGAGGTTGGGGTTGAGTAGATGGCTCAGCTGGTAAATTGTCTGCTGTGCAAGCATGGGTACATGATTTCAGGTTCTCAACATCTCCATAAAAAGCCAGGCTTGTACCTGTAGGCATGGAATGCAGAGACAGGAGAATATGGAGCTTGATGGCCAGTCAGTCTAGCCAATTGGCACGCTCCATGTCCAACAAGAGACCTCATTTAATAGCACCATGGAGAATGATAAAGGAAGATACTTAGCATCCATTACTGCCCAACATACACATACATAATACAAAGTAAGAAAAGAGGCTCTTTTTAAGTCTGTCAAAATCTATCATTGATTTTTAAAAGTAAATGTGGCTGCGGTCAACCCATATACATGGTAGGGCAGAATATCATGGATTATAAGATTTCTTAGGGGAAGCACACATACTTATACATTTAGTATTTGAAATACACTGTGCTTTTAAGATAATATCTAGCATTTAATATAAGAATACTTAACAAACTAAGAATATAAAAGGACTTGCTCAGATTGGTAAAGGCATCATCAAAGTAGGGTGGAGGACTGAATGTTCTTTCTCTCTTTGCTACCCATCAGAAGCAAATGGCTCAGGATAGTACTTGTCTTGCATGCTCAAAGCTCTGGTGATATCCCCAGCATGGACTTTCCATCACCAAGGCAAGCACATTCAAGTTAGAAAGGAGAAAGTAAAACTTCCCCCATTTAAAGACAACACATAATGCTGAATGTAAGAAAACTCCAAAAAACAGTAATATGTAATTGAGTTCTGCAATACATTAGTATTAACTGCATTTCTATGAACTATAACTTAAACAAAGATGAAATTACGAAGTTTCATATATAACAGCATCTAAGAGAATAAAAACAGTTTAGAATATATTTAATAGCAGTGCACATCTTGTATGGGAAAATTTTGAATTTAAACCAGAGTATTTTAGAAAGACATAGTAAAAGTTAGGATACAACTATCCAAATTCAAAGGGTGAAGTTACACAGCACCTTCAGACATCAATATAAAACAAACTTTATGGGTCAGAAGCCTTCAAGAACTTCAACAATAAAAGCATGTCATTTCACATGCAATCATCCAACTTCTACCCATGGTTCTCAGGAACTTATAAAGGTACCTCCTTTAAGAATGTAAAGCAACTTAAAAAGAGCTAAGAAAAAAAAAAAAACAGGTGAAAAAGATTATTCCTTTCTGATCATTTTTATCAAGAATTTGAAAATGAGGAACAAACATACTAACCTGTGGAAGACATTCTGCATGTATTGCACTGTTACCCTTGGTTTTACGACTGTTCATTTCGACCAACTCAAATCCTAAATAAATAAAAATAGGATGAAGAAACACGATCTGATTTAAAAACAATTCAAAAATCACATTTACAGAATCAGCTGGATCTCAACCAGCATGGTGGCACACATTATTCTGGTAGTAACAGTATGTTCTTTGTTGTTTTTTTTTTTTTTTTTCAAGACAGGGTTTCTCCGTATTGTTTTGGGGGGCTGGCCTTGAACTCAGAGACCCACCTGCCTCTGCCTCCTGAGTGCTGGGATTAAAGGGGTGTGCCACCAACACCCTGCTCCGTATGTTCTTTAACTGGATTTAAGATTCATTCAACAAAATGGATACCATGCCTGGTACTAGAAACCTAGTAACTATTCAGAACTAGTGAAATCAGTTATTTGAGGAGAATCTACAACCACTCATTTACTAAACCAACATAATTCCTAACAACAATCTATAAACACTAGCATTTATTCCTAAAGATAAGTGTAGTCTTCACATCTCATTAAGAAAAACCTCTTTTTGAAAAAGATGGGAATCATTACACAAAACAACCAGTCAAAATGCAAAGACATGGAGCCTAGTTCCAGTGGATACATACACAAAAGATTTCAGACACCTAAGACTCATCGAACACTGTGTAAGACGAGGGGGCAGAAAGATTTAAGAGTCAAAAGTCTCACCAGCATGAGTGCCCAAATGTAAGCTGAAAGAAGGATGACACAAATGGACATTCAAAAGTGGACTGGGAAAGAACCACAAGGCCTCAGCACTACACAAAGAACTACAGGCAATTGAGTAAAGTTGGGAGTGGGAGAGGTGGCTGTGGTGGTTTGAGTAAGAATGGCCCTCATAGGCTCATATAGGGGTGGCCTTGGAGTACGTGTTGCCTTTTCAAAGTAATGTGTCACTGGGGAGTGGGGCTTTGAGATTTCAAAAGCTATTGCAAGGCCCAGCCAAAGCCTCCTTTCTCTTACCTTCTTGGCCTGAGGATCAATATGTAGCTCTTAGCTACTGCTCCAGAGCCATGCATGCCACATTGCTCACTGCCATGATGATAATGGACTAAACCTCTGAAACTGTAAGCAAGCTCACAATTAAATGCTTTCTTTCATAAGCGTAGTCTTGGTCATGGTCTTTCATCACAGTAATAGTAACCCTAACTAAGACAGTAAGTCTTTTCCCAGGTACAAAGGCATCTACTGGTCATCCAGTGTCAAATGGTAAACTGTGAAAAAATATAATATATGTATATATTCAACAATCCATATTTAGGACTATATATGTATGCATTAACAATTCGTGGGGAAAAAGAGAGGTTATGAATCTGAAGGAGAATAGAAAGGGGTATGTATATGGGTGGGTTTGGAGACAGGAAGGGAGAAATGTTAATAAAATTATAATCTTGACAATAAAAAATAAGAAAATGCTAAACAAATTGAAAACCACTCTTAGATCCATAACATACTGAGTTAACAAGGTAAACAATTTCTTCCCACATTTGAGAAGCATTGACAGATACTGAGGATCTAAATTTAATGGAGCAAGAAGATAAAAAACTAACTTCAGAGGCCTCTACTGTGTAGCCCAATGAAATACACAAAACTTAAGATCTAATGATAGAACCACAGAATGTTTCCCTACCTCTACAGATTTATAGGGTTCCTATACTTGACACAGATCTTATTTAAGAAACGCTAACCAAAACCTTAAGAAAATATAGGAACAATAGCAAAGATACAAGAGGAACTTTTAGCTTAGGACTTGTTTCTCCAGCAAACAGTAAATACAGCCTAACTCTGAACTATATAAATGATTTTGAAAAAATGTAGCAAACTAGGATGAGATTTTTTTCCAACATGGTAATAAATATTTATAAAAAGATCTATAGCTAGCACTTACTTTTAATGTAAAATGTCAAAGTCCCCACTACTTTTATTCAATTGTTTTAGAATTCTTATTAAAACAACACCGTTCACATTTGCATGTATGTGCAGTTGCATATGTCCTCATGCACACTCACACCCTAGGTATAAATCCATCAACATATGTACAAGAGCTGTATGTGGAAAATCACAAAATTCATTTAAGAAATTAACCCAGTTTCCCCTACCCAGTGTAAGCTGAACTTTTTATTAAAAGGTTTTGCTCTCCAAATTGCAAGGTTAGGAATATGTAAACAAAAAAGAGCCCAACTGGGAGAAAATACCTGATCCATATATAACTGAATTCAAAATACAAAAAAAGCTCTTAAAATGTCATTATGAAAACGACCTATTTTAAAAATGCCAATGATTTAAACTAACACCTCATTAAATAGTGTAGCAAAAAATCATGACATGTTCAATATCATATCTTTAGAGAAATGCATAGGGCAAGTTTTGTAACACTATACTTATTAGAAAAGTTAAAATTTAAGACAACAATTTCACCAATTGCTGGGAAGATTTTGAGTTAATAAATCTGCTTATATTACTTAGTACTCAACAGTAATAAGTATGAAGAGATTTACTGCTTTGTTTCTGACTGAGGATGTAATCTGACTTATAAAGTTATTGCTGCTGTGACCTTCTTATCATGATAGACTAGAACCTGAAGCTGAGGTGAGCTGCTTTTGTTAGAATGCTTATAATAGCAATAAGACACTTATGGTATACTTACTCTGTTTGAGATTAATGCCCAGACTCATTAAGAATACCCGAATTCAAGTTATTTCCTACGCCGATACCTGAATAGCTGTGATTAAAGCTACATGCTACCATACCAGCATAGAATCTCTACCAGTAACCATGGAAACTTAGAAGCAAGATGTTTTTCAATAGAAGGAATAAACTGGTACAGCCCTACAATGATTTTTACTGTGTTTAAAAAGAAGCTATGAAACCACAAAAAAAAAAAAAAAAAAAGGCAGGGATAAACATTAGACAGCTACTCCTAAGAGAAAGAAACCAAGTGGGAAATGCTACAGACTGTTCAACTCTGTAGATGATGAAAGGCAGAATTACAGAAACAGTGACAGCAGTCACAGGAGCCCCCCCCCATGGCAGAATACTAGTAAAACTATATGACAACTCTCACAATGTGTAATACAAAGACAATTCCACTGTCAACTTCAGACTTCTATTGATATTTCAACATTGGTTTATTAACTGTTACTAATATAATATACCAAGGCAAGAGTTCATACTAGAAACTATACCAATAGTAGAGAGGGTTGGACAGGGTTTACAAGCAGAGATGTAGGAACTTACTCCTGGTTAAAACTGTATGTTTAACTTACCTTACATATTACTTTAATTCTGAAATAAAACAAATCTGCCTCTACAGTACAAGAAGATAGAAAATATTTTTAAGCAGTTTCTTTTAAGCAGTTTGTTTTTACCATTGTAAGAATTTCAATGGTAAAAACCACTTCTTGTGACAGCCCAAACTGTAATTCTGTACTTTAGGATCTCAGTCAAGAGAATCATGGTAAATGCAAGGCCAGCCTAGGCTACATGGGGAGTTCTATGACAGCCTGGGGCTACATAGGAAAATCTTGTCTCAAAACCAACAAAGAAGCAAAACAGATAAAAGATGATGTACTTCTACATGGTTTATTTTTTATTTTTTTGGTTTTTACAAGACAGGGTTTCTCTGTAGTGTTTTGGAGGCTGTCGGTCCAGCCCAGCCTTGAACTCACAGAGATCCGCCTGCCTCTGCCTCCCTAGTGCTGGGATTAAAGGCGTGTGCCACCACCGCCCGGCTTTCTACATGGTTTATATTTAAAATCGCTTCACACCTCTTTGTTACAGGGAGGCTAAAATTTTTTGATCTTGTCTTGGCACTTTGCTTAGTCCAGAAAGGTTACCACACAGGATAAGGTGAGTGTCATAGCCTGTATTTCCTGTCTCAGAACATTTTTCAGTTATTTTGGCTAATTCTTAGGGTATTAATAGATACAGCTTTAACATTGTTTTTCAATTTTATAAATTACTATTAAGGCTGATGTAGATTTAGCATTTAAATTCAAATATCCCAACCATGTACATGTCTTCTTTATATGTGATGAGATATTAATATATGGTAATGGAAATCTAGCTTATAGTTTAACGTATCAATGAAGTATCTTGGCAGAATGAGAAAAAAAGTTGATATACAATATACAATCTGTTTTCATATGCTAAAAAAAGCCAAACTAATTTTATATTTCTACTGACATAGGTGGTTAAGAATGCTAAAAAGGAAACTGAGAATCAGTGAACATATTCTCACTGATACCTTATTTTTGGATGGCTGTTCAGTGGTCCTATAAATTCTCAGTATCATTTGTCCAGTCCTACACAACTGCTCCTTGTCAATGTACCCTTCGCACACATTCAGAAGAATCAAGAACTTCTACCAGTTAATAAAACAACACAAAGTGTGCATGAGATTTAAAGTTATGGTAAAAGCAAACTGGATAGATCATCTTACAGAAGCAAAACATGCACACACTTGACAATAAAGGAAATAAAGCCATTTGAAATTACATGCCCAAATCTAAAAAGAGGCAAATCAGAATAAGCCCCACATCCAGCACTACTATGCTTATAACATATACAAAAGATATGGCCGGTAAGATGGCTCACACTTGAGGCTTCGCTGGATTAGGGTAAAACATCAGAGCTCAATGCCCACCAACGGTGGGCTACTCGGACAATCACACAGCTTAAGCTGAGAAATTAAGGACAACCTAATCAGGATAAGAGAAAGTGGCAAAGTCCTGATAAATGTTATGCATATAGTGGGAAATTCCAAGACCTGGATATGAATAAAGTAATTTACAACTGACAACCTGAGGAATCTTTCCTAGAAAAGTGTGATGTCTCAAAAATACCATCATCCTGTACCTTACATATTCCTGTAGTAGTATCTTTTCACTGAGACTACCAGCCTGCAAATGACGACCCAAAGACTTATTAAGTATGAAAATTTGCTCTTTAGCTTAGGTTTGACCACAAGTAGCTCTTATAACTCAAATTAAACTGTGTCTATTAATCTATGTTGTGACATGGCTTGGCTACATCTGCTCTGTACCATATGTCAGACTTCTGTCTCACTTTTATCTCAGTGCCTAAACTGATCTCCTCTTCTTTCTCTCCAGAAATCCTGCCTATCCTCTGCAGCCTAGCTATTGGCCATCAAGCTCTTTATTAAATCAATCAGAAGCGCCTTGGCAAAGGCACATCTTTACTGTATACAAAAGAATTATCCCACAACATATTTCTGTAATTTCCCAAAGGCTAGAGTTGCAACAGATACCCAAGAAATAACAACACTTTAAGTCTGCAGAAACACATTAAAAAAAAAAAACTAGAACCTGGACTTCCTGTCAAAGACAACAAGTTAGCTATAAATACATGACAATAAAAGTCAAAGCTTCAATTTTCAGGAGGCAATTAGTAACAGTTTACTCTATGTTTTTCAAAGACAATGGTATATTGATACCAGAGTCCACAAGGACTCTAAAGCATGACAAAGAACACCACCTCCCCTCATCACAGTAAAAAAGTTCTACCTAAGCCCTATTAGTTTTCTTGCTATGTATTTGTTTTCTTTTATTCTAAGATTAATACTTGATTTACTAATAAAAGTTTAGGGCACTGGGGTTTTGTTTTGAGCCCATCTGACATAATTACCTCCCTTACACAAAGAAAAGGTAAGCCCAGGATAATGGATACATAAATAGGGTCCATTGTATGGACTTGCAGCAAGTAAAATCTGTAAAAATAACTTTAGCTATCGGTGAATCCTACTGAAAACTAAAATTAATAATAATACAATAAATTCGTGGATCTTCGGGTTCTTCAAAAAATCTTATTAGGCAATTTGGATCATTAAAGTTACTTTAATGATCCAAAAAACTGTGAAGGTGGAAAAGAAACCGTTATTTCACTAAAAACGAACAAACAACCCCCCCAAACGCTCAGATAAAAAGCTTTCTCCTCTACAACAGAAGAAAATTTTGAGGTTTCTCTTTTTAAGGACACAACTCACTATGAAGGACCACACACTCGCACGCATCCTCAGAACGTGCAGTCTTTTGTGTGGCAGCACTCAGGCAAGAGTATTCAGGCAGCCTTCATCCCAACCTTCCCTGCCCGTTCCTGCTCTACAGCTTCTCCAAAATCGCAAGGAAAACAGAGAAGGACGGAAGGCTGGATGGGGACGGCAAGGCTACCGTGGAAGGTGATAAAAATCCACACATCCGGTTTGGCTTTCGCAGCTGGGGGTGGGGGTCACAGGCTCTGGAGCAGGAGCGAAGGGGGACACCTGCAGAGAACCTGCTTTTCTCTGCACACTGGCCAACCATGTACCTCACACCCCGGGAGCCTTCTGCATCTAGTCTCTGCAGAACTCCCTGCCCTGCTCAGGGCTCCGTCCACAGCCAGGCCGGGATGCCAGGAGCCGGAGGCAGCCCGCCTGGCTCTAGGCCCGCCCGGCCTACCTCTTCCCCGGTATCCTCTGGCTGAAACCTTCGCTCCTTCCACCCGCCAGTGGCCGCTGCCGCCCTGACGCTGCCTCGGGGACCAGCCTTACCTCTCGCAGGAAGGCCTAGCTACACCGGGGTAAAGCCGGCCGCCGACGACTGCGAGGATACAGGATGCTCACTCGCCTCCTCTCCCCTCTCGACTTCACCTGCCGCCGCCGGGAGCACACAGCCACTCCCAGCATGCGCCGCGCTCCCACCGCCTCTCCGGCCCCGCCCCGGCCCGCCCCGCCACGTGACCTCCCTTCCCCCTGGGTCCACGCCCACTTCCGTCCCTCCACTCTCCCTAAGGAGGGAGGAGGCGGCTGGGGGTGTTAGAGAGTAGCAACTTCCTCCCTCTTCCCGCCCCCGCCCCTTTAGCCCCCCCCCCCCGTTACAATGTCTTCCGGGTCGGCAGCGCCTTGGAGCCTTCTGGGAAAACATCTCATTTCCTCCCCTCCCCCTCCGCCTGCCTTCAACCAACCAGCCTCCCGTCAGAGGGGGACATGCGCAGTGAGTGCCTCCCGTCTCTTCTACCCGAGCCCCCCCTCCCCCCCAAGCAGAGAGACCCCAGCAGCAGCAGCAGCTGATGATGAAGAGAGAGGCAGTGGCAGAGGGGGGGCACCTTTTATTTCTATTTTTAAAGGGACAGGACACTAATTTTACCCCACTTCAACCTTGAATTGAGGGGGGGGGTGGGGGGAAGGCGGCCGAGTTCCTCCCCCACCCTCCAGCTCCGAGCCCTGAGTGGGGGAATTGAGCCTGAGAGAGAGAGAGAGAGAGGAGAGGAGTTTCTTCTTCTTAGAAAACCCCCATCCACGACTCCTACCCCCGCTCAGCCTGCCTCCAGAGCCCCTTCCACCCTCCTTCTCTGTGGCCGTGAGAGAAGGAGAGAAAGAGACCAAAAGCCTCTTAGCAACACAGACCCTTTGCTGCTGCCGCCGCCGCCGCCGCTGCTACTGCTGCTGCTACTGCTGCTGCTGCTGCTGCTGCTGTTGCTGCTGCTGCTGCTGTGCTTGGCCCTGGCTGGAGACATCTCCCTACCCCGGGAGCAGCCACTTCCCCAGCCCTCCTCCTCCTCCTCTGCCTCCTCCTCCTCCACTCCCCCCCCTTTATTACCCTTTGTGTCATCCTCCACAGCTCCAGGGAAGGCACTCAAAAGTGGGGGGCAGGAAAGGTAAGTGTGTCTGTGGGGGCTCCATTGCCTTCCTCTGCCTCTGACTTTCACTCCGGGCAGCAGTAGCATCCAAACCTCATACGCAGTGGAGCTCTGGGGTGAGGAGGGGGTGGTGCTGGGGGGGTGAGGGAGGGAGGGGCTGGAGTGAGGAGGGGTGTGTGAGGTGGGGTGTCCACCCTGTCAGGGAAGGGAGGACACTTTTATTTTCGTTTGCTGTTGTCAAAAGTGGTTTCTCTAGCTATCATCGGATTGTGCCTTGCTTCAGTGGGGGAGACTACAAAAACAACCCCCCTCCTTCCTCCAATGAGGCGCCAGGGAAAGAGACAGAAAGAGGCATACTTTCTAGATGTCACTTAAAAAATTACGTTTAGAGAGCTCTTTTTCTCTTTCCCCAGGAAAAGCTGCCCGCGTTTGTTTCTGAGTGGGAAAATGTCGGGATCTGAATTGTGTTGGAACTGCTTTTCCAGTTGTAGACCTGAGTGTTTCTATCTTTTGCTTCTGTCTGTGGCTTGGATATTGACTTTAGTGTTGGAAGACTTGACTGGTTTTTATGTTAGGTGCTTAGTTTCTCCATCTTATATTTTGTCTGAATTTCATAGCAAATTTCAAATTTTAGTTCATAAGGCCTTTGGTTGGGTTTTACACTTGCATTTTGTGTGTGTGTGTGTGTGTGTAAAATATTTGTTTCATGTTTGACTACATAAAGTTAAAAGCTGAAAATCCTTAAAGTTTAAATGCCACTGGTATTATCTTTCCCTACATACGTTTCTGGTATTTTTATTCCATACCCTGAAAATCTTAGCTGTTTCATAACTAACTGTTTTTTCTGCTCTAATCTCTGTAACTTGTCTGAACAAGTAGTCCCCATTGAAAACTTTATGTTGTTCTTGCTGCATAGAAGGCCAAACCTCCCCATCAATATTTTGCTGGATTGGTACCACTTTCAGTTTCAACTGAATTATTTATTTACTGTTGTAAATTGAGACGAGGTTTTCATCTAGAGGCAGTGAAATACTGTTCACAATATGTGAAAGGAAATAAATTTCTAAAATACATTTCATGAGTTAAAGAAATCATGAAGTTGTAGCTAGTATGTTATAATTGGGTACAAATCATAAGATAAATCTAGATTAAGGCTTGTAGAATAACAGTTTCGATAAAAATAACTTCTGCATTCTTATATGGTTTTTCTTCTTAGTGGCTTCATTCTATAGTGCTATATTTTATTTATATTTATACATTTTTATATTTCAAAATATAGTGCTATATTTAGTATTTCACAAATACTAAAAATATGTTTCTGCTGTAGGCCTCATACAGCTTGCATTAGGAAGTGGTTTTGAAAATGGATACACATATTCATATTCTCTTTGTATATCTCTCTCCCACTTTTTAAAAACTGCATTGGTTTCTCTGATTCCAAAATTTGTGTCAATAGGAAAACAGGAATTAGATCAGCAAGAATGATTGAAGAAATATGAATCTGTAAAGATACTTGACATATTATCTTATAGTTTTTGCAAAGTGATGGTCCTTGGTATTTTATTTTGTTTTCTTGTTGGTAAATCCAAAACATGATAGACTCATATTTTAGTGACCAAAAAGCATATGTAGAAACTTGTTCAGTAAAAATTTAATTGCCAACTGTGTGTAAAAGTAGACATTTACATATGGACTGTGTAGCAGGAAACAGTATGGTCCTATTTCTTTCATTTCTGTTATAAATTTGAACACTTCTTTTTGCCTTTCTGTGTGGTGTGATTGTTGCACTTAAGTAGAAATCTGTGCTAATTTCAAGTTTGTCTCCCATCATAAATACTACTAGTCCTGGTCCACTAAGCGTTTCTTAACTGTCATTATATAATGAATAGAAAGTAGAACTTATTGAAGGAAGCAATATCAAGTACGTAACTTGTCTAGACAATTGGGGTAGTAGTTGTCCAGTAGGCAGCTAAATAAAAATTCACAGTCTTGAATTTAATACCTGTGTTTAGTTTGTGTTTCCACTTTTTTGAGACAGGGTCTTGATAGATAGCCGAGTCTAGTATTGAACTCATGATAATTCTTCCTTAGCCTTTTGAGTGGTGGGATTACAGGCATGTGCTACCATACCCAGCTGTTTGTATTTTCCTTTGAAAGCATTCCTGTTTTCTTAATTCCTACTTAATCACTACTATGGATAGAAAACTCTACATTTTCTGTAAATGAGATAAAAACGTATGACTTGAAAACATATACATATATGATTTTTGAGACAGGGTTTCTCTGTAGCTTTGAAGGCTGTCCTGGAACTCACTCTGTAGACCAGGCTGACCTCAAGCTCACAGAGATCCACCTGCCTCTGCCTCCCAAGTGCTGGGATTAAAGGCATGCACCACCAACGCCCAGCTAAAACCTTTTATTATATTTTTAGTATGCTTATATTCTAAGTGTCAAATACTGTTGATATTTTAGGAGCATAATTTTTCAAGTAGATAATACCTTGGAGGTCACATTATATAACTCTTCATTTTCCATGCTGTGATATTTAGAAAGCCTGAAGAATTTACTCAGGATGCCAAGATATTTTTTTTTGTCAGAAATGAACTTTCATGCCCAATTCAGTGTATACAGTTCAAAATTATACAGAGACTTTTTCCACGACAGATTCTATGATCTGGAAATCCTTGTCTAGACCAGGCTGACTTAACTCACAGAGATCCACCTGCTTCTGCCTCCTCAGTCCTGGCATGAAAAGCAAGCAGCTACTATGCCTGTCTAGACTAATTCTTTTCTATCAGTGAAGGTGTATAGTGCTGGCGCTATGATTTGGCTATTTATAAGGCAGTAATTGTTGTTGCCCCTTTAAAGAGGTACTAATCTCACTCCTTGTGGATTATTACTTTTTCAGAATCACTTTGGCTTTCTCTAATAACTACCCCCGCAACATCCGGTTAGTCAGCTCAGTAAATAAATTTCTTACTCTTGTATTGAGAACCCCTATTTACAAAAACAATTAGAATTATGAATGTGTCCTATGAGTTTGACTTGATGAACCACTTGAGGACAAAATTTTTCATCTGATTAGCACTCGATGCTTCTCAGTCATAGCAAATATAGTACACAGTAGGGCCAGCTGGTTGACATAGTCCATATTAGTTTTAAAAAATAGATATAGATGATTTTTTTCACTCAAGAAGTATGAGATTAATTTCCCTTCTCCTTTTCCCCCTCCTTTCTGGTATAATTATCATTACCCTGAAAGTTTTATTTTTCTTGAGAATTTTTTTTCTTGATGTATGCTGTGGCTCTCACATTTTCTAATTAACAGCTAAATTAAACTTTGTTAAAAATGTAGTACTCATAATAGGAATTAAAAACATATTTCCTTAGATTCCTCACTAGGATAGAATTTTGACAAAAATGGCTTATTTTGAGTCAGCGATTACTTATAGACGTGGTTAAACATATATTTGTTCAGGATTCACTTGTTTCATTTTAGTGAACGATTGATACCGTATGTAGGATGTTGGGGTGATTAGGCTGCTTTTACCAGCTCTATAAAGCATTCCTTACTTAGGTGACATGTTTCCCTGACTTTGTTTTTTTGGTCCTTACCCAGACAATTATCAGCTTTTCAAATTTCTACGGATATGAAGATTTACACCTAGTCATCAGTGGGACCCCATGAAGTCAGCCAGAAAGTCTATATCCACTTACGTATCTTTGTAAACCTTGCTGGATTTTGAATGTATGTGAAAAATTAATTAAATATCTGTAGACTATCTTCTGCCAGGTACTATGTTAGGCAACTGAAAACAAAGATGGGCCCTGCAATTTCTTGTAAAGAGATTTCTTAATTGTGTAACATAGATGTATTGGTCAAATCTTTATTTTTTTTTACTGAAATAAATTTTATATTAACAGTATTAATATTTTTTTATCATTTTTTATTTTAATTTTAAATAGCTTGTTTTACATGTCAATCCCAGTTCCCTCTCCCTCCCATCCTCCCGCACTCCCCTTCCCCCTCCCTCCCACCCTATTGCCAAATCCTTCCACATAGGGGAT